ACGGAAAACCCGCACAAATTGGAAGCGCGACAGTGCCGTCGGCATGTATGAAGAAACAACCGCTCCCTATCGGGCGTAGTTCCAAAAACCCGGCCCCACTTGCCACCGGACACAACCCCGACCCTGGTAAACCAAACAACGTGACCATGGAACCTTTACCAAATACATCCGTCTTTGATTGAATCAGGTGGATCAACACCCTGTCCCTACTAACCGTCACATCTTCCAACCTAAGCCCACCAACCCCTTTCTTGTTGGCACTAAGCAACTCACCAATCCGAAACGCCCCAAAAAAGGCCCACGAAAAAGCCACTGTAAATAACGCCACTTCAAACACAGAAAAACATATCTCAGGTAGTTTGTTCACTAACCCCTGTAACACTGTGAAGGAGACTGGTCTTCTCGTATCCTTCGTCTTCTTACCTTTCCTGTATCCCCGAACCGCTTGCCTCACTATAAAATGCTTCGTCACATCCTCCCATCCATTAAACTTAAACAAAAACGCCAACGCTGACATGTACCTATCAACCATTGATGGCGACGCTTGCTTTGCGAACAACCGGCATAGGATCCATAACAGTATGTCCAGCCGATTGCTCCCAGGGCCCGCACCCCTACCTGCTGCATCGTGTCTTCCCACACTTGCCAGACCTTAACATAGGAGAACCAAGTTCCAGGCGCCAGAGACTTCTTTATGTACTCCCCAAGCAAGACGTCCCGAGCTCCCACATCTCCGCCGGACAGGCTTGACCCTCTTCTTCCGCCTCCGGCGCCGCCTCCCGAAAACGCTCCCACTGTAGGCGAGACAGCGCGTCAGCGACAACATTGGTAAGCCCCGGTATATGCCGAGCGCGAAACACAATATTAAAAGACATGCACAAGAGAACCAATTGCCTCAACAACCGTACCACTGGCCATGAAGAAGCCGATAATCCGTTGATAGCCTGCACCACTGCCATGTTATCCGAATTGAACACCACCCTCTTATTGGCTAACTCCGGACCCCATAACGCCACTGCCACCACAACCGGGAAAAACTCCAAAAAGGCCAAATTCCTAATCAAGGGGCTCGCTTTCCATGCCTCCGGCCACCCCTCCGCGCACCATTTACCCGCTAGGTACGCCCCAAAACCGATGCTGCCTGATGCATCCGTAAACAAACCCACGGCCGTGGAGGTTCCCAACGGCTCCCGAAAAAACACTTTCCCGTTAAACTCCCTCAAAAACCTAGCCCATACCTCCAAGTCCTCTCTCATGTCCACTGACACCCTAATATAATGCGACGGTTTTCTCACCCCGCTTGTCGCCCGCGCCAATCGTCTGCAAAAGACCCTCCCCATAGGGATCACTCGGCACGCAAAATTCAGGCTCCCTATCAACGATTGAAGTTCACGCAAGGTGACCTTCCTCGCCCTACTAACCGTGTCCACTAGCCGCTGAAGGGCATGTAATTTGTCCCCGGGCAACCTGCACTCCCTCCGTACCGAGTCGATCTCCAAACCCAGGAAGCTGAGGCACGTAGTGGGCCCCACCGTTTTGTCCTCTGCTAACGGCACCCCAAATGTGTGTGCCACCCACTGGAAGGTCCTCAACACCTGGCTACAGCGCTCCGTGCGTGGTGGGCCAACGCATAAGAAATCGTCAAGGTAGTGCACCACAGCACCCCAGCCGATTCCCGTCGTACGACCCACTCCAAAAAGGTGCTAAACCTCTCGAAGTAAGCACACGAGATGGCACAACCCATAGGCAAGCATAAGTCCACAAAATACCCCCCATCGAAATAGCACCCCAATAAGTGATGACAATCCGGGTGTATGGGAAGCAGCCGGAAAGCTGCCTCCACATCCAATTTCGCCATTAGAGCCCCTTGTCCCGCTCTCCTAACCAACTCGACAGCCTTGTCAAATGATGTGTAGGAAACAGAACACAGGGCCTCGTCGATATCATCATTAACCGATGTACCTTGTGGGTACGATAAATGATGGATCATACGAAATTTACCCGCCTCCTTCTTGGGGACTACCCCAAGTGGAGACACCCGCAAACCAACCAACGGCGGGGAAGCGAATGGTCCCGCCATCCTCCCTAATTGCACTTCCTTACATAACTTTTCCCGAGCTATGCTCGGATGTTCCCCCACTGACCGAAGGTTTTTACATAACCCACCCACAGCCCTTTCTTGAAACGGAATCCTGAAACCCTCTGTAAAACCCAGCCGTAAAAACTTTGCCACCTCCTGATTATCGTATAGTTTTAACCAAGGCAGCATCGCGCTTACCTTCACCGGCGACGCTCCCAGCTGCAGCCACAGCTGTTGATGTGCCGACAACCCCTCCTCCCAAGTTCGGCTTACCTTTTCGGAAGCACCTGGAAACTCCGTGATTACCCCCGCAACCAGAGCACTCGTGCTTAAATCTGCAAGATGCACCCCACTTGCATTGGCCCTCATTGTAGAGCCAGCAGAAACCTTTCTTCTGACCTGCCGACACGGTACTTGAGCCCGTGCCGGCCGCTCCGAGAAAGGGGGCACTTTTCTGTGCCATCATCAGCCTCATCCACAAAGGCAAGTCCATCTGGTCCCACCGCATGGACGGATTTGCCGCCAATCGCTGACGAAATTGTTCGTCATATTTCCACCATGCTAAACCCCCATATGTCCGATATGCGTCCCCTATCCCGTCTAAATAACAAAAAAGCTGCGAACATCGATCCGGGTATTTTTCCCCGATCACGCTCGCCAAAATACAAAAGGCCCTCAACCAGTTCCCAAAAGACTTGGGTATTTTCCGATACCTCCGCCTCTTTTCCTCCTCTTCCTTTTTCGCATCCTTTTTATCCTCTTCTTTCAAGTCTAAAAATTCCTCCAGGGGAAGTAGGGAAAATATTTCCACGAACTCCCCTTTCCAAATTTTCTCCTTAACCTCCACCTTTAAGTGGCACCCTAGCGGTCCCGCAAAAGACACATGCACATTTTGCCGTGCCGCATCCGTTACTTCCCCGCAGAGAACGACATGCTCACCCACGTCACCCGTCGCTCCTTGACCCGTCCCCGCGGCGCCCTCACCCCCTTTCGGCTCCGCTGACGCTGTGGCCTTCACCCCTGCTGTCCGACCGCCGTCCGCAACCCACACTTTCTCAAACTGTGTCGGAGACCCCCCGTCCCCAGACCATGAATCTAACAGAGATCTTAAACATCCAAGTAAGCTTCCTGTGTGTGATGCAGTTGGAGACTCACCGCTAAAGCCCCCGGCCGCTGCTGGCCGCGGGGGCGCCACTTTTTCCACCACGACAGCCGACCCAGAAGGAACCAGGGGACGCCGACTCCTGCCCGCCTGTTCGTGTGTTGCTCTCGTGGGCGTCCTACTCAACGACCTGCAAGGAGAATACAGCCTGGGTGATCTGTCCGACTGCAGCCTCACCCGCCCTTCATTCCCGTGATCAGACCCGTCCTCACCACTTCCCTGCCTGCATCGTCCCTCCCGCTCGCTACTTCTCTTCCTCCGTGCCGTGTGGTTCCTCTCAGACGACCTTGACTCACTGCGCCGGCGCCGTAGCCACCTGTCCCGAGAAGCTGACCTCCTCCTATTGCTCCGGTTCCCTGCTGGGCTCCCGCTCCCATGTCTCCTACTGCCTGCAGACCCTGACCTGCTGTCCCGCCATTCTGCCCTTCCGCGCTGCCATCCTCCGCCATTCCCTCTGCTGGCGCTCCTCCTATCGAGCCGCTCCTGGGATCGACCCCTAGAGGCCTCCTGCCCACTGCTGTCCTGGGTGCCGCCGTCCTCCTGGCCAGTCACCCGCCTGCTGCCACTCCGCTCCATACTGCCACTCCTCCTGTCTCCTGGGTCCCCAGACTTGCCGATGCTGTGCCCGTCTCCCCTTCTTCCCAAGCTCCTGGCCATGCTCCTCTGATCCCTTGGATCCGCAGCGCTATCCTTCCTGCCTCCAACTCCAGCTGCCTCCTGCTGTGCCCTGCTGACCTGGTCCCTCTCCCCAACCTGTGAGACCGCTGTCCTGCCACTGCCAGCCCCTCTCAATCCCTCCTGCCCCACAGTGCTGCCCCCAGGGGGCGACTCACCGGGACGTCCAGGGCTGCTCCTGGGTCTTGTAACCGACTCCCCTCCGTCCTGCTCCATTCCGGCACCAGCTGTCAGCTCCGCCTGCCCGCCCGCCGCCATCCGGCAGGGGGCGCCCTTCAAGGGAGGCCTCCTCCTGGCCTGCAACCTCACCGCCCCGGCATTGCGCCTAGCTGGCGGTCCCGACCGACGACCCGCTCCACGTCCCTGCTTTCCGGCCGCCGCACTGCTTCCCGCCGAGCTCCTCCTCCGTCTGGCTGCAGGACCCGCTCCAGGACTAAGCCGCTGGGGCGGCCTAGCTCTCCTCTCCGGCCTCCGATCCGGCACCGCATGGGGGGGAGCAGACGTGCTCGGAACCCCCAGCTGCTCCTGTAGCCACGCCATTCCCTTCTCCTGCACCACGGACCGCAGACCCGACAGAAGTTCTTCTAATGACACCTGGAAAAGAAGAAAAGAGGAGCCCAACCGACCTGCAACAATTTACAGGTAAGAAAGGCTCAAGTTAGAATGAACTTACCCTAAAATGGCCGCTATTTAAACTTCCCTTCTAACCCACGCCCCCCAGCACAATCACAGGACAGCCTCTTGACCTGAACTTCACCCTGCCTACTCCTGGCTCTGTCAAGGCCCACTCCTCCCTGCGTTGCTCCGTGGTTTCCAAGT